CTAGCGTTTCACTTCTTCAAAGGAAGTCTGAAAACTGCCTACAACCTACAGCTGCCTACAATTCTCCAGGTGGATGCTGCACATTGGTGGTGGTGGAGGGGATCCCCATTACCTGTAAAGCGCTTTGAATGGAGTGTCCAGAAAAGTGCTATATAAGTGTAAGCAATTATTATTATTATTATTATTATTATTATTATTATTATTATTACAACCTATCCCAGCACCATCCCTTGCAAGAAGCAGGCCAGGAATGTCCTAAAACAAAAAGAATGTACTCCCAGAGAAGGAACCTGCCAGCTTGCTCCATGCAAAACTACCTAACCACCCCCAGAGGAAAAGCACTCAGTCTGCAGTTTCCTTCAATTCAATTCAATGTTCAGGTTCAAAAGGTTTTTACTTTTCATTCAAGCTGTCGCAACTCGTTGTTTTATTGGGCTCTATAACTGACAATTTAATCTATTTGCTGAACTCTTGTATATACTCAGCACAGGCCACTATTGACACCACCTGCAATTATCGTGTGGTTAACTAGGGAATGTAATTCCCACAGCTCCTGAAGAGCCCCTCAGACTCCCCAGACCAAATATGGAGAGATATAGGCATTAAGGACTACCTCTGATTATCACCAGAATCTGGTTCAGCTGCTATTTAACACTTTAGCCTTGTAGTGTCGGTAATATAAAATTCAATTTTGTAACTTCTTAAACTGAGGACACTGTTATATTACTTTGTTTCAGCCCAGGAACCAGTGTTCTACTAATCAGTGTAATTGCGACTCTGCAGTGCACAGAGTGATCTCATGCTCAGTCTGACCACAGAGAATTTTTGTGAAACTGGAAAGAACTTGTTCAGTCAAATAATATCTAAGTCAACAGTGCATCACAGCAGGTTTGTAATTTGAGGATTTTGGCTGTTTGCATGCAGAAGTATAACTGAAGAGCCATTTCAATTATTGCTTTACTTCTTAATGCATGTGAACCTATGTGCCTGTTGTGTGCACAAACACCACTTTCCCAGGCGCCGATTCGCCAGGGATCATTTCTTTCCATGCCATCATAGAATTTACCATTATCACATGCCATCATGGAATTTGTTTTTCATACTCAGAAGGTAAAAAGGAGCATGATAGCAAACTTAGATTTTCACAAGTATATTGTATTGTTTATTGCAGTCATCTCACAGCATTTGTAAACTCTGGTGTTATATCGATACTGTTGATAAACAGCCCATGTATACACACTCTGGCTACAGCTGCAGGATCTCCAGTCAGATGAATACACGCTCAGTGGCAGGCCATGAGTGGGTGGTTTGAGTCGGAGAACAAGTCTGCTATCACTTTTCCTGACCAGAACAAGTTGCAGACATCAGTCCTGTTGTAAAGTGGAAGAGCCAGTGGAATGTGCATTTCAGTCTGACAGATTATTTATTACCTTTGTCACAAGCTCATCTGAAAGTGATTTGAGACGGAAGAATGAAACCAGACTGCATTTCAAGCACGTCGAAATCTTGAGACGTACATTCTGTCACGGCTGTCTTGCTGCTCGAAGAGGCCCAGCACATTGTTCAATGGGGGGGTGTATATACAGTACATGCGTATACCAAGAGGCATTTAAAATGCAATTTGAATTCCACCATGTACTGTATGGGGTGTTACAAAACCCAGGTGACCGTGATCTGCTTTTTACATTTGTTTAATTGATTTCTCTGAAAGTGAAGTGAATGAAGTGATTTTAACTGGTAAAGGTAAAGTCTATATTAGAGCCTAGAGAGTTTCTTTAGCATCAATTGGACAAGAGAGCATGTGACTCCTGCCCTCTATGGAATAATAGTCCTCTGTTCCTCAGTACTGTACAGCTTATATCAGGTACGCCTCCTCCCACAAACTCCTGTTTGGAGTTATCTTGTGAACTCAGGAGGATAGAACATATATATTCTATACTTTCTATATTTTGAATGTAATTTTTCTTTCAGAAACCTTTTCATGGAATGGCTACATTATGCATTTCCCTCGTGTAGAACTTTTTGTTTTTCAATTATTCTGAATGACGATTTTGTGTTCATAAAACCTTCTTCTGCTCTACAGCCCAATGTTCAGAACAAAATACAAACTGATGTATTTGTCTTTAAGATATTCATGTCTGAGGGCATACATCTATAATATAATGCATTAAGCTCTGAGATCTATTTCTGAAATTAACCGCTGTAAAACATGCTAAAGCAGTCTTTAAAGGCCACAGAGCTTCACACCCCTAGTAGGTTATGGTAATCTGTGTTTTCCAAAGTTATTTTCCTCAAGCTCTGTTATTCCAAGCATTTCACAGATTATGTACTTATTTATTTATCATTTCCTTAGTGTCTAAAAAAATCCTATTAATATAAGCTCTAAATCCTTTAAATGCACAACTGAGTCTTTCTCCCATTGTTTTGACCATAAAAAGTATTATCACATGACACAGTTTTACACTTTACTGGAAGTTGAGCCCAGCAGTTTCCAAAAAACATTCCCATCAAGAGGATGTTGCTATACTGTGCAGATATTGGTGTGGTTAAGAGGTTGTTTAAACTTTGTAGTGTGTTTCCGGAAGGAAAAAATAATTTCCACTGTACTTTACGTATCTTACAAGACATTGTAAATGACTGTAGTGGTTGATTCTGTTTTCTTTCAGGGCCTTGATATCCTAAGTAATTTAAACAAGAACCAAAGCAGACAGTATAAACAAAATTAGAGATGTCAGCTTTTGATAGATAAAAATTAAAGTGCAGCCTAAAGTCTTATTTGAAAGCTACCATGAGTACAGTATGACAGTTTCTCAGAGATAATGTTTTTATCTTTTTGCTTAGATTAATTTGCTGTCATGTTAAATTATCTTTTTGAGTGAATGGGTGACTAAAATATAGAATACTCCGAACTCTCTTAGAATCTATAATATGGTATGAAACATTGTTCTTCACAAATTACATCACCTTATCAAATATCAGGGCAGTGAATTTTTAAACTGCATCACAATCATGTTCAGTAATTATTTTAAAAGGTTAGGATGTTTTAGGATTGGTGACTGGGTTAAAAAGCAGGAAATGTTTTATTACAATAAAGTTTATTGTAAATTTAAATATAATTTCTTTTCTTAGGAGGTGTTTTTGTGCATGCATAGATGTAAGGTTGCCTTTATTATTTTATTTATATTATTGTGTAATCAACTGATAGGTAAAATGTACAGACATACTGGGAAACTTGTACAATTACACAAGATAAGGACACTAAATGTTAATTTTGCAGATCTGCACATTCTTTTGTTATACTTTTCCTCTGTGACATTAATAACTTTTCAACTCTAGATTCCCTTTGTGTGAATGTATTGCTTTCAGATTACAGATGACACTGATAGGGTGTGAATGGTTCTGTCATCTCAGCATTTTCCAGGACTCACTTTTGAAATCTTTAATTGTAGAGGGTTTATGAGCCCTGTACATCAACTCATAATATAAGAAAAATAATAATAATAAAATAAATTATATATTAATATGAGTATACTGTATATTAATATATTATTAATAAATAATAAAAATGATCTTACTGCTAAAAATGCTACATTCAAGGAGGTTGTGCAGCTTGGTTTCGGATGAAAAGTTGTAGATTATCATTTCTCTTGCTTTCTGTTTTATTTTCTTGTGTGGTTGATTGTAACTTTAATTTCTATGTCACTGTAAGTGAAGTGCAGTAGAGAGCTCTGAGAAGAGAGGTCTGGGGAGAGGGATTTTGCATGTCTTAATGGAGAACATAATATACTGTAAAGCAAAGGAGGGATGGAACTTGTGACACTTTGATGTGAGAAAATTGACTCATGTTCTGGTTGAAATACAGCAATAATTTAACTTAGTAACAGGACAGTTATTATCTAGTTGTCACCTTTTCTTCTCATAGAAATGTTGTGTTGTGTGCAACTGTTAAAGTATGAAAATGTTTCAATTTAGGTAGCACTTCTCAGAAAAGATATGGGACAGCAGTGTTTCTTTTCACGTCATTTAGATACACTATCTATTACCTGCAATTGAACTTTAAAAATGGTACAATTAGTGTTCAAGCTTTCCATCACATCTGAAAAATACTGTAGCACATTGATCGGCATTTCAAACATACTTCAAAGTGTCTTCAAATATGGAATTTATTTCTCAAATTAAGTGTTTGAGCTTAAAGGATTGGTATTGTATTGTTAAATATGACATCCTGAAAAGTAAAAGGAAGATGTCTCTGCCACACTGTAAAATTACCAAGAGCATTACTGGAATTGAGAATCTGCTTGATAATGAGTTAAATATGCTCCAACATTCTGTTTTTTCACATTTATGTAAAAACATTCTAAATAGAACTTCTTTCTGTCCAATGATGGGAAGAGTAATTAAAGTAATTAAATGTCAAATTGATTAATTAGGTAGGAAACCATCATTGAAAAACAGCCCAGAGTAACACATATGAATAATCCCTGTCTAATTCATTTTTAAAAGCCTGGCTGGATGAAGAACTGGCAGGTGTTATTGCCAGCGACTCCTTTTTGTGCTCTGTCTTTTTCTGTGTAAATTCTTAGTGGAGTTCAATATCTTTTTTGACTTGCACACAATCTCATACTGTACTTGGGCTGCTTGGCTCCAAACTGGCATTTCAACACAGCCTTGGTCTGCTACTGTACGAACACACGTTTTAAACCAGCATAAGCGTTTGTTTGACATTTCCAAGAGCATCATTCTCATTAGAAATGCATATACGTAAGAACCCACAGTACTAGGCAGTGTATTAATATGAATTTCTGTTCATTCTAGTTATGTACAAAATACTACATTTTTTTTATTCCGTTTTTTTAATAACAAATTTAGATTTTTTTCCTGAGGTAGCTGCCTGAAATGTGTTGTGTGACATTGGTGGTATATCAACATATGGTACTGTATCTGGAGGTGCCAAGGGGAATCGTTGGCTCATGTTTTTTCCTATGAAATCTTGTTTGCAGAACAAGGGAAAAGCAACCTGAGAGTGACATCGCCAGAGGATGCAGAGCACCTTAGCAAAAAACAGGGCGCAGGTAATGGGAGTAACCGGACAGACTCGAAGCCTTCCAGGAACATCCCAAGAAGACACACTGTAGGAGGCCCCAGGAGCTCCAGAGAGATTCTCGGAATGCAGCCCTCGGACATGGACAAGAAGAGAGAGGCCTTCTTGGAGCACCTGAAGCAGAAGTACCCACACCATGCGTCGGCGATCATGGGGCACCAGGAGCGGCTCAGAGAACAGGTAGGGTGGACCTAGCCTGAAACACAGGAAGGCAGAATGGGGAAGTGCAAGCAGGAGAGCGCAGTTCACATGGTGTAAACCGCAGAAAACGCCAGCTGTAACGAACCAAACTCCACATAAGTGATAAAACATCATCCAGTTGCACAAATCTTGAATTGTGAGAAGTGTGTATGCACTGTGTATGATTCTGTTTTACACATCTGTTGAAAAGCATCTAAAGCACTGGAGATTGGACTATTCATAGGCGGTGCACGATGGTTTTTCCACAGTGTTTTTCGTGAACATTAAAGGACCGTGAATTGTAGGAGAGGAACTGTTGTGATTCTTCAAATACTGGATTAAAACTCCCGCTCAGGCAATTAAAAGGAAATATCCATAAAATACGTTTGCCGGCTCAGTTGATGAAGTAGGTCACATGAAGGTCTGAGGGAAAATACACCTAAGTAAAGAGAGTAATTCACATTTCATATTTCTTCAAAACAGGAAAAGTTCTCAAATCCGTACTAAATTTCTTAGAGCGATTCGGTACCAGTTCGCCATCCACTACTGCAGGTTTGTCTGAATGTTTCCCGATTTGCTTGGTTTGGTGCTTTTTCAAAAACATTTCAATCACATTTATGCGTGGAAATATGAGGTTTTCATTTTGCTTTTTTTTCCACTCAGGGCAGACAGGATAATTGCCTTAGGAAATTATTAAATACGTCTAAGGAATAGCTATATACAGTGCCTAGCAAAAATATTCAGACCCTGTATGTGGTGTCCAATTTTTGTGAAAGAATGATGCATATACCCTTTTAATCTTAATATTTTGTTCCAAACCTGAATACTCAAAATGAAAGACTTTTAAGGGTAAAATGATATACAGCAAATGTCAGCAAAAACCATAGAAATAAAAAACTGAAATGTCTTGATTTCAGAAGTATCGAGACCCATGAACTCTATTGGGTGAAAGCACCTTTGAGAGAAATTACAAGCAAAAGTCTTTTTGGATAAGTCTCTGCCAGCTTTGTATGCCAGCTTGGTGCAATTTTTGTCCATTCTTTGTGGCAGTCTTTCTTAAAATCTCTCACGTTGCTTTAGTGATTGCTTATGGATGGGGACTTTCAGTAAAATGTATGTAAGAACCCTGACTGGGTCACTCAAGGACATTAGGTTTCTTATGGTTAAACCATTCCAGTGCAGCTTTGACCTTCTGCTTTGGGTCATTGCCCTTCTTTAAGCTGAGTTTTTATTCCCTGTTTTAGATCTGAAGCAGGATTTCTTCTAACATTCACCAGTACTTTGCTCCGTCTACATTTCCACCGGTCTCGACAAGCTTCCTAGTTTCTCCTGATAAGAAGCAGAAATATAAATAATGCCGCCACCATCGTGCTTGCAAGGAGGGATGGTGTTGAAATGTCACAGGGGGACCGAACACTTTGAATCAAGAAAAAATGTCCGAGTTACGTACACCGCAGAGCTTCTTTTCAATTCTCTCCGTTTTCACCTCCGACTCCACTCTCCTGTCTGTAGGTGAACAACGTCTTTCACTATTTCTAAAAGTTCCCGCACTTGTCTTGAATCACAATCCGTAAATCGTCGTCTGTTTTCGTTCTTTGTATGTCACCGTTTAGGGAAGTTACCACACCAGTCCTGAATCACAATCCGTAAACCGTTGTCTGTTTTGTACCAGTCCGTTATTCCTTAAGTTCAAGTTCAATACAAATTTTAGTTACCACCCAACACTTCCTACTTCTTACTTCCTGCTTCCTGCTTCCTGCTTCCTACTTCCTACTTCCTACTTCCTACTTCCTACTTCTTGCATCCACCTACTGGCTTCTGCACCGCTTTATATTTTGTCCTACCTAATAGAGCTCGCTTGTTTCCACTTGTATTGTTGGTTAAGGCCCTTCTTTTGATAGGTCAGCTGCCATCTTGCTTAGGTCCTTTCCGAGTATTTTAAGAATATCATTGCGGAAATACCTATTGTTGATGATATTATTGAACCATTATTGACATTTTATCCCACTAAATTCTGTCAGACCTCCAAAGTCACCATTGGGTCTTTGAAATGTTTGTATACCTCTCCCCTGATCTGTGTCTTTATACAACTTTATCCCTGCTTTGTTTTGAAAGCAACTTGGTCTTCATGATTGAATCGTTGCTAGAAATTCATGACCTCACTGAGGACCTTACCTCGTATCTGAATTCTGAAATGAACCACCTTTATTGCACACATTAAATAATTTTAGATTTGCCACAGAAGAGGGTTTGAATTCCTGTGGAATCATGACGTTTCCATTTTTATTTCAGATTAGTTATATTTATTTCTTTTTGTTTTTGTTTTGAATGTGCTCAGTACACTGCGTATATAACAAATTTTAATTGCTACTTTAAAGTGTCATGACTGCAATGAGAAATGAGGGTCAAAAGTCAAACCAGGATTAAACATCACCCCTAAATTCTTTAATTCTGATTGAAATTCAAGCACAGTGCCATTCACAGACAGGGTTACTGTACTTGCTGTACAGAGGTGGTGGGAGGTGCTGAGTAGCACAACCTCAGTCTTGTTCCAATTTAAGTGAAGGAAACTATGAATCACTCAGGTTTTTATATTAGAGATGCAATTAGTGCAGAGATGGCTACTTTTTTTGTCAGGTTTAGTATGGGCATAGATGTGAGTAGCAGCAGCATGGATATGATTGTTTAGAGCATGTCATTTCAATCCATAACCAAGTGTGAACATGTAGATGCTGAATCGCAGGGGGTCCAGTATCAAGCCATGGGAAACAACAGACTCAACAAAACCCAACTTCAGAACTAAGAACCCCCAAGAGAAATAAACCAGAGCCGAGAGTCAAAACCAGAACGAGAGCAAAAGTACCAAAACCGAAACCAGGAGATGTAGATGGAGAACAAAACCAGGGTCAGGAAGCCAAAAACCAAGTAGTGAATAACAATGTGACTGGGAGTAGCTCTAGCCAGGAAAACCCTCATTCTGAGCACCGGGAGGAGTGTGAGGCAGCATTAAACAGGCTGGGGAAAAGGGATAACTGGGAACAGTTTTGGAATGTCAGGTGGAATGCCGATTCCTCTGGGGGCGTGGCGTAACACACTTTGGTCTAGGAGAATTAGGATGTGTCTGTTCAGAGGAACGTGTGAGATCTTTTCTAACTATATAGTTATTTTTTCAACAGTATCATTCTTAAAAAGAAAGTGGAACCTTGTGTACATGAAATTTGACCATTTATTGCATACTGAACAATTGCTCAATTGAAAAGGTGTCCTGTGGATAACCTGTCTATAACCAGGAACTATAGCATTACTGTACCTTATTTAACAAGCTACCTGCTGTTGATGGTGTTTTGTAATTTCTTGTGTAATTTTTCTGCAACCCTTAAGACACAAAACTAGAATTAATGCATCTAACTTGTTAAAATCTTTCTTATCATCTTTTGAAATACTGAAGACGTAAAACAATCTTCAGAAATAAATAAATGTGGACTGTACGTTGGATGAATCTGCCTGTTGGGTATGGTTGTTTTACAGTAAATCATTAGGTCTTTGTCATCTCTAAAAAATGCAAGTCTAATGGGGTTTCCTGTTCTTCTAGTTCTTTTCTCACAAGTGTCATCTTGTATAAGGAAAACTGTCAACTGACAAAACAAACTACACTCTTTCTTTCGCTCAACAACTGCACTCAGACTCCACCCAGCAAAAAGTTTCATAAAGTTTGCATTGTTCATAACACCAGGCTTCCAGCCTCCGAACAAATTAAACAATATGAATTAAAGTATTATATTTTGTCTTATGAATCATTTTCTGTACGCTGTCAGAAACTAGGAATCACTATATGTGTGCTATCATTAATAAAGGTTAATTCCAATAAAGGCTAATTCCACAGTGTGAAACAGAAATACTGAAGCTGAAATACTGTGCTTCTCCTCTGTATTTCTCATCATGGAATGAACCTTTACTTGTTCCTTTGCAGCCATCACACACTGGCGCAGCTCCCCACTCCACCCTCTTCACATATTTAATACATCTCATTTGTCACGAGGCTCTGAATGGCATTTTGAATTAAATAAAATCGTTATAAATTTGAGCATTTGTAATCAAAAGGTGATTAAGCGGAGTTGAGCCCATTTCCAGTGGATTTAAAGAGGCTGTCAGCCTGCTCTTGAGTGATAAACTCTGAAGTTTTGATTCTTGCCAACCAGAAAGGAGCTCACCAGGAAAAAGATAGTTGCAGAGTGGAGAAGAGTAACGTGATTTCTAGTAGGACACCGCAGTGCTCTCTGAACGAGTGAAAGCTTCCATTCCACTTTAGTGCTTCAGCAGATTAAAAAAAAACACATTGTGCTGAGGCAAAAGAGTATCTAGAATCATACTGACAGGTGCTCACAGACAGTCCTTCTCAGACAAGGTTTTAATTGACTTTATATTTCAGGTGCTTTTTAGCATTGAATATTTGGCAAAGTTCAGCAAGTAAATAACTAAGACATTGAAAAGAGCGGCACGTGTTCCCCAAGGGCAGGGAGGGAGCATGAGGAACTGGACTGTAGACTTTAGCTTTCGGTGTTTAAAGGCTCAGTGGCAATCAGGGTGCTTACTGGAGCTCAACAGACACAACACCATCAGGGCAAGCCTGCTTTGCACAGGCAAGTCAGCCTTCTTGTGACTTTCATAGGGTTTACTGCAAACCCCGTCTAGCAAAACACTCGTATGAATGGCAGCCCAACTGCAGTGCTGGAGAGTAACATGGACTTGGGGGTTCTTGGACACTTGACTGAAAGTGGCCTACAAATCATTTTGAGTCAGTGCTACAGGCTCCTTTTAAAACCATGTGACTTGGTAATTTACAGTGCCCTCCAAATGTGTCGCTACTGCTGTTGTTTTCCTCTTTATAATGCAATTTGTATCTGTGATCATGAAAGTAATATGAATTATGAGTAGAATATAGAATATGATTTATTTTGGGTAACTCATATGCATATATTCAGTCATATTAGAATAGAAAA